TAATTTAATTTTTCAACAACTATTTTTTTGTTACAATGTTTGGCGACAAAAGAAGAAAAAAACTTCAATTTAAGTGACAAAAAAAAGTGCTTTGGAAATGCAAAAGGAAAAAAAAAAGGAAGGAAGGAAGAAATAAGATAACTGTGTTATAAAGCTGTATAATAAAATTAGGCGACTACTGTAGGCAGTCAAAAAATAACAGCCATATATTAACTCTGCTACCTTATATTGAAGACTCTCAAACTGCCACATACGATGTAATTATTTTTTAAGCAAATTTTTTTCAATATTGAAAAACTACTTTATTGCTCACATAACTGCTTTATATAATTCCATAAACTGAGTAAACTGTAATGATATTTCTTTACAAGATAAAAAAAAAAACAACAGAAACAATTAAATTGAATTTTACTACCAGTTTAATGCAGAAGAAAAAAGGTATAAAACAGAAGTAAACGCATTAAAATTATTTAATCAAAAATAACGATAAAACTTTTTTTTTTCTCGTTTTCTATAACTCATAAATTATACCTGCAAAAACGACAGTTGAAACAAAAACTGTTGCAACAAATTGTCGAAAATTCGTCATCGTTTTTGTTATTATTGTCAATTTCTTTCTTCTGCCGCAGATACGCAGTAATAACCGAAAAGAAACAGAATAATCTTTTCTTTCTTCTTTTCCACCTTTAGTCACTTTTTTTTTTGGTTTTTGATTGACTTTGATATTCACTATGAATACATTTCTTAAAAGCAACCTGAAAAACAAAAAAAAGGATAAATGAGATAATAAAATAAATTTCTGAGAACAATTATCGTATTATTTGCAAACGACTGAGTTCAATTGAAACAGATAACAAATATAATTTCTTCGTTATGAGACAATATTTATTTACCAGAGAATTCAGCTTGCAACAATTTGTAACACCAAAATCGCCAACAAATCACAGCCAACACCACTATTACAAGAAAATAGTAATAACAACAGTAGCAGCAGCAAAATGTTAATTTAGACTAAAGTATAGTCCAAAAATCTAACAGAAAAAACGCGAGAGTTTAGGTCTAACAGAAAGTGAAAAGTAGAAGAAGGCAAAAAAAAAAA